CCACGTGTGTAAGTTGTTTAACTTACAGACTGTACTTGTGGTCGTTCTCTAATCCACTTTTGATCAAATAATAAATACATTACTGTGTAACTAGCTTACCAAGACTGTAACTTGCTTAGCTAAGGGAAATTTTGGGTTCAGTTCCTGAGCCCATTATGTGCCTCTGTAACCCTTTCCACTACCCCCCACAAGATGGGTATGAAGTCCACTACCCCCCACAAGATGGGTATGGAGTCCACTACCGCCCACAAGATGGGTATGTGGTCCACTACCGCCCACAAGATGGGTATGGAGTCCACTACCGCCCACAAGATGGGTATGGGGTCCACTACCGCCCACCAGATGAGTATGGAGTCCACTACCGCCCACGCCACTAGCGCCCACAAGATGGGTATGGAGTCCACTATGGTAGTCCACTACCGCCCACCAGATGAGTATGAAGTCCACTACCGCCCACAAGATGCGTATGAGGCCCACTACCGCCCACAAGATGGATAAGACGGAGCGACAAATCAAGAGAACGGGCTGTGTATGGTGTCTGATAGTGACAGTTTGTGGCGACGACTGACGACGGCTTCTGGCGACGGCTGCGGCGGCTTGCGGCGGAGGCTGTGACCGACAGCGTCGACCCGTGGCTCAATCAGGGTCGTTCCTGTCACAAGTTCGAGCCAGCGGAGCGGCGCCGTTCCGGTGTAGCGCGTGTCAAGCCGCCCACCACGCGCGCGCCTCACGCGATCCCTGTGTTCCCTGTATGCAAATGACGTGTCACATCCTACACCAGGGAAAATAGGCTTTGTTCACCGAATAAAGCGACCTCCGGCCTGTAAGAGCGGTCCCTGAAGACCATTTTGTCCGGAACTCGGACCATGAGGGGTCGTGTTGTCTGCCTTCGTCGTTGGAAAATCCTATAAATACCGGATATTTAATGGGTAAACATTCTATTAACAGCAGGTATTCTAAGGAACAAATCCTTTAAATACTGAGAATTCCAAGGAACAAATCCTTTAAATACTGAGAATTCCAATGAACAAATCGTATACATACTGAGAATTCCAATGAACAAATCCTATACATACTGAGAATTCCAATGAACAAATCCTATACATACTGAGAATTCCAATGAACAAATCCTATACATACTGAGAATTCCAATGAACAAATCCTATACATACTGAGAATTCCAATGAACAAATCCTATACATACTGAGAATTCCAATGAACAAATCCTATACATACTGAGAATTCCAATGAACAAATCCTATACATACTGAGAATTCCAATGAACAAATCCTATACATACTGAGAATTCCAATGAACAAATCCTATACATACTGAGAATTCCAATGAACAAATCCTATACATACTGAGAATTCCAATGAACAAATCCTATACATACTGAGAATTCCAATGAACAAATCCTTTAAATACTGAGAATTCCAATGAACAAATCGTATAAATACTGAGAATTCCAACGAACAAATCCTATACATACTGAGAATTCCAATGAACAAATCCTATACATACTGAGAAATCCAAGGAACAAATCCTATTAATAAATTCCCGATTACGTGGAGTATAAAAGCGAAATAGATTTCTTATTTTTAATTGACTCCACAATTTGCCCTAACTTAGAAATTCCTCGATACCTAATCAGGATTTTTATTTAATGGGGGAAGGGGGAGGGAACCCATATCTCCTCCACAGAGTAGAGATACAATGTGTCATGTATTTGCTCATTGTAACACCTCTATAATTCCTTTTATATATCACTAACAAATATATTTGATTGCATATACAGTAATACCAATTTTGAGACGCAGCAAACGGTTCGATAGAGAAGATACAGTTCAACCCTATTTTGGCCAGTAGCTCCCTCGCCTTGGAACCAATTTACGTAAGAGAGGAGACGACTTACAGTACCTATTACATAATTAAGAAAGATGCTGTATGCTACAAGATTATTACCTATTCCCTAATACATTAAGATTACGCATCTTTCATAATAAAACAATACATATACAACAAAAAATAGAGTTGATACTTAAATAGAATAAATAAATAATTTTTTTTTGACAAGTGCATTTCTTTCATCAGTTGCAGTGAAAAGGTTACATTGGTTACCGCCTGGTGACACCTTTCACAAAACACAAAGGACAAGCTTGGGTGGTTTATGCACACCTCTCCAGAGGGGGTATATGAGGGGTCAACGCATGAAGAATTATGGTGAAAGGGGTAAACCACTGTTTAGAATTATGTGTGCCTCCTACTTTTGTATTTTTTCAGATGTACCCATAGTGGACTCTCTCAAAACGTGTGCATGATCATACAGTTAATTGTTCATGTTTGCATCACCAAAGGGTTAATTGTTATTGTTTGCATGGCATTGGGTTAATTTGTAATGCTTATGTCTGCCAATACAAGTATATCTCAATTTCATTAAAAAACAAGAGAGAATTTTTTGTTTGAGAACAGTGTGACCACTGTCCTTCGTCGGAGGTGACCACAACAGGCGGAACCATGACCAACTCTCCCATAACCCCTCACCTTCCCCCCCCCCCCCCCCCCATAGCACATACCACCACAGTCCACTGGCGGAACTTCATGGCGACCCCAAACCATCCCCCCCACCCCCACCTTCCTCCATCACTGCGCAACAGTATAAATTCAGATGTAGGGATCACATGCAACACTCCGGCTGTGCCTTCGTCAGCGTACAGTTCTGCCTCGCTCTTCTAATATCCATCAAAAGGTAGGTGTGTCTACCTGCCTGACTTGGAACTCTAAAAATGTGTGCTAGTTTCGTCCACCGCCCCCTTCCCCCCATCTTAAAAAAAAAGTGTATATTTTATATGCTTAATTCGTCGATAGTGAAAGTGGCACGGACGGAATATTATCATAGTGATGAAAGTGATAATTTGTCAGTTACATATGAAGCTTCAAATGACTGCTGGATAAACACTGCAAATTCGACAATAGAAAAACCTATGATAAAGTGTTTCTTAATATATGTAGATACTGTTTCTCCGAGTTACAGTTGCATATAATTATATATACACATGCACACATGTACGTATTGTCTTGTGTATGCATGCACAGCGCATTAACCCATTCTCCTGTTTAGATAGTAGTTTTGAAACCATGTGCACCATAGTACAAAGACTGACGTTCTAAGCAATTAGATAGTAGAACTTTGTACTATTCACTTTATAGTCTGAAAAAATTAAGCTAATATACAAACTTAAATATTCCTAGGCCTGTACCACAGGCCTAGGAATTAGCAACCACCAGGTCAGCGCCTCGCGGCTCATCTGGGCGATAAAGTCCTCTCGGGTCAGCCCACAAAGCATAGAGAAATTGCACAGAGGGAGCGGCGCGTGATTGGACTTTATTCCCAAATGAGTTGCCGAGACGCGGGGGTTCCAATCACCGCTGCTCTAACCTGTGGCATTTCTCTTTGCAGGATGTGGCGTTTGACGGCGACGCTGCTGGTGGCGGCCCTGGCCTCGGCCACTCCTCAGGGAGGCTACAACTACTTGGCCCCAGGACCTATAAATCCATCCTTTCCAGTTGGTCCAGGCTGCCCAACAGCCACGTCCATTATATTCGACACCCGATTACAGACCTCCGTTCAGGTTCAAACTATCAACCAAGCCAGCACTCAGATCGTCACTACCACGGTGTTCACTCAACAGCTAATTCCAACCACTGTGTTCCAAACTCGCTTCCAGACACAGGTTCAGTTCCAGACCAGTATAGTGGAGAGTACCACGTTCATTGCCGGTAACCAAGTGGTTACACAGACAGTTACAGGACCGAACTCGCTGCAAACTATCTTTGTGACGACAACTCGTTTCGTCCAGTCCACGAGCTTCGTTACCAGCACTCAGTTCCTGACGCAGGGGGTGACTGTGGAGGTCACGCGGACGCAGTTTCAGACTATCACCCAACAAATAACTAGCTTCTTCACCAGTACGATAGGAGACACCCGCTTCGTGACTGTCACTGGCCAAGACGTGACCCGCACGCGTGTTCAGACTGTTGTCCTAACCTCTATTGTCAGGAGCGAAGTGCCGGGTAACACCCAGTTTGTCACCACAACCCTCATACAGCAGCAAGTACAGACAACAATTGTTCAGGGACAAAACGAAATCAGAACCAGCTTTGTTCAGAGTACGCAGATCATTCCCTTCACCACCTTCACCACCCGCTTTGACAACACTTTCGTTACTAGCGAGATAGTAATCACCAGCACCAACTTCGTGACTCAGACTCAATTCACAACGGTGATTAATACCCAGGAAGCAACGCAAACCCAATTCGTGACGAGCACCATCTTCACCACCATAGTCACGACCCAGTTTAGCCCCGTGACACAGACGCAGACAATCTTCCAGACCCAGTTTATAACCCCGGCCCCGGTCATCAGCACCCTGCAACTGACCAGCACGTCTGTGATACAGATCCCGGGTCAAGACCAGGTCATAACCCAGGAAGTGACAGAGACGCGCCAGCAACAACAGATATTCTACCAGACAGTAGACAACCCACAACAGGTCGTCGTGACTCGGACAGTGACGGGTAGCTGCGGTGGCCAGACAGGCGGAGGTTATAACTTCAATACACCGGAGGTTCCGTTCGGATACTTCAAATAGAACATCGCAAATCAATGGACATACGGACTACGTGTGAAGTCTGCTATCTTGTAATGACATTTAATGGGGCACAATATACAGCAGATTAGTACCAGGAGTATCCGTCCTACGAAATTGTACAGACACAGAAGAACTTATCTATATAAAATATATTTGTATTTATGTACATTAAACGTAGTAACTTATATTTTTGTATCTGTGACATTTCCTTCTCTAGCAACTAATTCAAGGCACAAAGTGAGGGTAAGTACTCCAACATCTTATAGCCATATATTTATGTCATATTTGCGATTATTTTTAGCACTCTTCGTCGTTGAATTGTCATGCTCTCTGTCTCCCTTCTGCAGGATGCGGGCTTTCCTCATATCCCTGCTGGTGGGCTGCGCCATAGGGGCGACCATTGAGAGACCCGCTCGCCAGATATACGGGGCACGCATCAGTTTGCAGCCGTCGTACCTTGTGCCGAGTGGGCCTGGACCTTGCAAGCCCTCTACGTTGTACAGAACGAAAGTTTTCTACTCTACGGTCGTAATCCCCTCCACCGTCTACAACAACAACGTTCAGTTCATAACCCAGACAGACTTCCGCACGCAGCAGGTCTTCACTACTCTCTTCTCGGACTTCGTGAGTACGATAGTGGTGCCCTCGTTCACCTTCCAGACGGTGACGGTGACCCGCACCCAGGGCAACATCCGCACCGAGACCATCACTCTTCCAGGACAGGTCACCTTCGTCACACAGACGCAGGAGCAAGTGAGCACCAACGTCCAGTTCCAGACCATCGTCACCACAGTGTCGCAGCAGGTGCCCACCACCGTCACCAGGGATGTGGTGTCAACAGTTGTTTTCACACAGCAAGTATTTAGCACCATTTTCCAGTCGCAAACAGTGACCAGCACCATAGAAATTCCTGGACAAACCCGTACTGTGGACAGCACGCTGCTTAGCACCACTTTCTCCACCCTCGTGACAACAGGCCAGAACGTGTTCATTACACAAACTGAAGTCAGGACCAACTTCATTACCCAGACAATCACACAACCAGGCCAAACCCAATTCATCACCTCCACCCAGATCATTCCCATCACAAGCACGATCTTCTCGCAAATCGTGTCCACCAACACGCAGACGCAGTTCATAACACGCACGCAGGTGCAGCAGCAGGTAACCACCGTCTTCAGCACACAGACCATACCGTCATTCAACACCAGAACTGTGACCGTTCCCACACAAGTGGTGCAGACCCAGATATCCACCCAGAATGTGGGCTCCACCATCGTCAGCCAGCAGGTGGTGCCCACTCTGGTCACTCTCCCGGGCCAGACGCAGATACTCACCATCGTCCGCACTGTGGTGCAGACTCAACAACAGTCTGGCCAGATCAGAACCATATTCCAGACCCGAGTGATTTACAACACCAACTTTGTGACCTCCACCGTCTTCAACCCCAAGTTCCACACAGTGACGGCTACGCGCACCGTACAGCCGTACTGCGACACAGGCTACCGGCGGACCACCTCAGGCTACAACCATTACGGTCGCTAGGTGGCAAGCGACCATACGAGCCACACCAGCTCTCCAACAGACTGGCTGACCAAGTCCTGAACATAATAAGCTCATTAAACTAACTACTTATGTATATAATTAGTTCTAAGGAGATCCCACTCTGAAACAAGAACTAACGGAGCATTATAACGTGCCCACTAACTTAAGGTGAAATTCTAATTTCCGTTCGGTCTGTATAAATATAATTTCGTATACAATACGATATTTAAATCAGAACACAGTTAAAATAGTTTCACTTTAAATCCTATTAATTTGTGTGTTATCTTTGCATATATAAACCCCTATCTTACATAACCTGTTTTCTAATAACACTTCATATGTTAACATTTCTAAGTAGCTATCAGAGGACACCAAAACATTTGATCATTATCTATAAATGTGATTATTCTCACTCTATCAGGTTTTCTAGTTAAATACTTTATCTCTTTGCAATGATGTTCCATTTATATGGGTAAGAAATCGTTTTGGAATTAAGCACAGATGTATAGTAACAAATGCCTCGACAAATCTTGAACTTCATCACTGGACCATTCAGTTCAGGTCTGCTATTAAGAGTACAATGTACACGTGCATTTAATTAACTCTATTAGACAAAAATATTTTAATATTCATAATTAAAAAGTTAAAAGATAAACCCTATCTGTTGACTGTGTTTCTGTCACTCAAGATGGGAGGTGGAGCCAAGAACCTTCCTACAGACCGTCGACCTGCCTGATTTGGGTCATTTATTATGCACCCCATACCTCTTCTGTGGGAGGTGGTGGTAAAGGTTACAGCGGCACATAATGGGCTCAGGAACTGAACCCAAAAATTCATTTAGCTTAGCAAGTGACAGTCTTGAATAGCTAGTTTCTTAGTGATTCTATTTATATCAGTTAGCTTCTAAAGCACAACTATGAATTAGGTCTCCTTGGTTTGCAGCTCTTGAAGCATCCTTGGTGGTGGTGGTGCTCGTGTGGGGCACTGCAGAGCCCTACAGAGCTCTCGTGCCTGTCAGAACCCCTAGAACGAAGTGTATTTACATCCACTCGTGTGCCGCTGTGTTTTATCCACCCACGGCAGTACTCGCTTCATCCACACTTGTTTCTCGTCGATAATCCACGCCGCTCTCATCTACACCATTACGTAACAAGAATGAGTTTAATACCTTATCAATCTGGTTATGAAAGTTGCTACAGACTTTCTTGAGCATGTAACAACCGCTGTCAAATGAGGACTGAACATGTTCAGAGACGCAGGCGTCCAAAGTGAACATGCTCAGAGACGCAGGCGCCCACGGTGAACATGTTCAGAGACGCAGGCGCCCACGGTGAACACGTTCAGAGACGCAGGCGCCCACGGTGAACACGTTCAGAGACGCAGGCGCCCACGGTGAACATGTTCAGAGACGCAGGCGCCCACGGTGAACACGTTCAGAGACGCAGGCGCCCACGGTGAACACGTTCAGAGACGCAGGCGCCCACGGTGAACATGTTCAGAGACGCAGGCGCCCACGGTGAACATGTTCAGAAGACGTGAACACGTGGGCCGGCACCCTCAAGCGTCAACTTTCCTGGAAAGCTTCCAGCCCACACCATACAGTCACGTGAGTTCTCCGCTTGTCTTATTATCTCCCTGTAGTTACCTGTGGCCGCTTTCCAGAGTTCTTTTACTCTCCCAGCCCGGTACCGTAGTATGCACAGCTCTGCCTGCACTCAGTGTACGCCCTCCCTCACTCCCTCCCAACATTCCCCTCACTCCCTCACTCCCTCCCAACATTCCCTCACTCCCTCCCAACATTCCCTCACTCCCTCCCAACATTCCCTCACTCCCTCACTCCCAACATTCCTCCTCCCGCTAACCTCTCGCAGCTGACCTTTCCATCCCTTACACCACATTAATCTATGATCTCCCAAATTCTTCCTTTCATCCATCAACTCTTGACCTTCATCCATCAACTCTTGACCTTCATCCATCAACTCCTGACCATTGTTCTGCCTGTCCAGCCGTTGACGCAGGCGTTTCTTCCTCCGCGTCTTTATCTGCTACTGACCTTTTCACAACTAGAAAAGGTCTGACCCGAGAAAATATCGACCTTACCATTCTACCCGTGAACCTTCCATTCAATTTCTGAACAATCCACTACACGTATACCCACAGACAATCAATCCACTACACCTCTACCTACGGATCATCCATCAAACCTCTACTCACGGACCATTCAATCAATTTCCAGCCTCGAAGTCATCCATTTCAATTCAATTGCCAACAAAATGATCGAACACCAACAGTCTCCGACCAACGGTATAGATCTTGCATGAAGTTTAATCAACCATATTCTTAGAATTAAATTATACCTATCGGTATAGGCCGGTCTCCTTTTTAGGAGCCTGCGTTCGATCCCCGATGGTCCAGTTATCTCACCCAGCAGCTAATCTGCCCTTATATCTCTTCCAAGTGCTTTCTCCTGATTATCACCTGTACCTTACGCAAGGGTGGCGTTTCGAGGTCGCCCTAACACCCTTTCACTCTTGTCCTTATCAGAGAGCTACCCCCCTGCCCTTTCAAAACTAATGTTTTGGTTACCTTTTCCTTCTGTGTGTGTGTGTGTGTGTGTGTGTGTGTGTGTGTGTGTGTGTGTGTGTGTGTGTGTGTGTGTGTGTGTAATTACCTAAGTGTAGTTACAGGATGAGAGAAGTCTTCCCAGCACTCTTTGTGTGTGTGTGTGTGTGTGTGTGTGTGTGTGTGTGTGTGTGGTGTGTGTGTGTGTGTGTGTGTGTGTGTGTGTGTGTGTGTGTGTGTGTGTCCACTTACTCATACGTTGGTTGAGCTTCTGCTCTTTTTCCAGTCTCTCAAACTTTGATCAAATTATGTACAGATATTTAAGCCCATTGGTCTGTCATACCTTCATTTAAAACAGTGTTGTGTGCCTCCATCACTACACTTTCAGTTCATTCTATTAGTTCACTATGACAACGCACGTGCATGTATGCATGCATGCATGCATACCTACCTCTCTCACAGCAATTGCATATATGTTGCAATCATCCGAATCTCCAATATCTCCTTTACAAGATAGTCACCCACCTCTCTCTCTCTCTCTCTCTCTCTCTCTCTCTGAGTCCTTCCGTGCATCCTTGCCAGTAATCTGTTTCTACAGCTGCCTCATGTAACCTCTCCTGTTTACATGTCACTGCCAAAAGTACTTCCAAGAAGTTGGAAATCATCTTCAGGTACAAAAGAAATATTACTTCGTCTTATTCGTCATTGTGTATAATACTGCTTTAATGTATGTTGCAGCTCACTCTACTAGATGCTATAGCGAAAAGTGTGATCAGTTCACCAAACCTCACATCAAGGCATTGGCCCAACCCGTCCTCTTAGAAATTACGTCGCTTGTATGAGCACTCAGGCTAAAAAAAAAATAATTGAAAATGGGATCGCCTCACGAAAGTGACGTACTGTCCCGTTTTCTGTTTTGGGTCCTCTGGCTTAGTCTGTAAGTTTGGGAGAGGACACTTTCAATTAACGGTTTTCATAACGTTTTGAAGCCTTATGAGAACTTCCTGCCCTCCTAATGTTCCAGAGGACCCTTAACTTGCTGTTTTGAAGAAAATCAAATTGATTTTCAATTATTTTTCAATTTCAAATGACGGCCATTTTTGGCCGTAGCGCATACGAGCGAAAAGCGACGTAACTTGTATGAGAACGGGTTTTGTAATTTGAGGTAATCTGTAAGAGGAATGCCCACCCAATGCAAAATTGCTTCTCTAGCTTCATACATAGCCTTGTAATATCTGCAATACAGGTTGTGATCATAGAGCTTGTCTTCATCAGTCCAAGAACTGAACAATTTGCTGTCTCTCTTCTGTGTATGTGTGTGGATGCGCCCCACAAGATTCCAGGACTATCTTGAGGGATGGGGCTTCTACCACCCTCATCCACCCCCCACCCCCCATCCCCCACAACGTTGAGCTCCATATGCAGGCGATGAGTCACAATAACGTAGCTGAAGAATGTTGACCAGACCACACACTAGAAAGTGAAGGGACGACGACGTTCCGGTCCGGCCTGGACCATTCTCAAGTCGATTGTGACTTGACTTGAGCATGGTCCAGGACGGACCGAAACGTCGTCGTCCCTTCACTTTCTAGTGCGTGGTCTGGTCAGCGTTGAGCTCCAGTCTGTCAAGAACAGTCTGAGGAGCTTAATTATCTTCAACTTCGTCTGTTATTTAGCTTGTGTCCTCAAGTTTATGCACATTGAGTGCGCAGTTTTTTGCCTTTATGGGGGTCAGCGCAACCTGACCTTACTCAACACCCGTCCTCGCAGCTAACAGTCGCGTTGTTTACGTTGTGGTAACCAACGGTGCAAATACTGCCTACTATGGCAAGTTACCTTTCTCCCCAAGACCATATTAGGTTCTGATCTTCTGTTTCCTCCCATTACCCACATCGTATTAATATTTCCTGTGTTAAGATCTACGTCTTTCTATAACTCCTTGTCAGTCTGACTTGTGTGTCTATATGTGCTTGTCTGTGTGTGCTTGTGTATCTACATATGTCCTTGTCTGTGTGTGTGTGCTTGTGTGACTATGTGTGCTAGTGTGTCTATGTGTGTTTGTGTGACTCTTGTGTGCTTGAGTGTCTGTGTGCTTGTGCGTCTATATGTGCTTGTGTGTCTGTATGTGCTTGCCTGTGTGTGCCTCAACGGTTGTGTGCGTGCGGGCATGCGTGCATGTATGTCACGCCACCGTCAGTGAACATTGCACAGCCTCCAGTGTACCAGGGCTGCCTCTCCCTGCCTGCCAATTACAGTGTGGCGGGGAGCGCGTCGGGGTGACTGTGCCAACACGTGTATGGCGCTCATGTGCAATAGTCGCTCTTAACTACCTCAACCAGTCTATTTCAATATGGCCTGTAATGGCATGTAATTTACTTCGTGGTATATAATTATAGCATTAATTGCGACATCTACTCAGCCCTGCCACTTGGGTGGGG